GTATTACAGTAGCGATGTCTAGAAATGCAGAGTCCCAGGTCGGGCCACAGACACACTGACTCAGAATTGCATTTTACCAAAATCCCCAGGCAATGCAAGTTGTAGTGTCTTTAAGAAGTACTGATTGAGAGGAAACTTGAAAACTTTAGACTTTAAGACATTCAAAAAGCAGGATCCATGCCAGTAAATGCTACTCACCTGTACAGAAACCATAGATAAAACAAAAGAAAGAAAGAAAGAAACAAACAAACAGAAAACACAAACACTAAAACACTTCACAATAAAGGATGATTCATGGAAATGCAGCAGGGTGACTGAGAGGGAATTCTAATTCAACAAAAGGAAGCAACGTACTCTTAAAGAAATGTTGGTAAGTAAAAGACAGGGAGCACCATCTAAAGGGAATCCCACAGGTTACCTTGGCTAAATTGCTTGCAGGGAAATGGCATTTTTCCCTAGAAATTGGTCTCATTGGTGTGAAATTAGAAATTATGTACTGGGCAGTAACCAGCATGACTGTTTTTTTGTAGTTGTTGTTTTCTTTTCTTCTTCTTTTTTTTTTTTCCTTTAAGAAGGGACGGGATTGCATTAAACACACCTGGTACCAGTGAGCTGCAATTGAGGCACACCAGCCTAGTGATTTTACCAGAGGGTATCTGTTTCGGAGACTTCAACTGTAGACTTTAGGCTGAGATAGTTTCTTTTCTGAATGTTTCCTTGTGGAAGTTTCTGAAGAAATCCCTGATTCACCATGCAGCATAAAGCATTGTCTCCTTTGTACCTGCCCCTGGTAGAAGGCATTAATCATTGTCAAAGTTCTTCCAGACAAATTATTTCATAATCTTTTTGTCTTTGCTCTTATTTGAATATCTTTATGGCTATAGTATTCAGTGTGAGTGGGCATGCAAGTATGTACATGTATGTGTCTTGTGTCCTTTTAAACAAAGATGACTTTATTATCATTATTATTTTTAGTTATCATGCTGTTAGTGACCTTCCAATCAACCTCTGGGGTAAATCAAACCAAAAGACTTTCACGCTTTTTAAGGACCTAATTTTTAAAAATGTGATCATCCCAGGATCTTACCCTTGACTAAACAGAGTATATATAGGTGATTCAATTGGTTGCTCACTTGTATCTTCCAGCTGATCCAAATGATTTTCTTTCTTTTTTTTTTATTATTTTTAATGCTCTGATCACAGCCCTACCTCCTGAATCCTATGCACATCTGCACAGTCTGATTACAGAGCATTAGCGCTGATACCGATCCACTTTGCTCTGTGTCTCTGGAGAGACTTCATCTTGTTTCTGTCATCGAGTCCTAAACGTGTGCTATTTTTGTGATACTCTGCAAGCCTGCATCGGCATCGAGGAAGACAGTGTGCTTGTGTCTTTGGCTTCTCTTCATGTATCACTGAGTCAAAGTTTCCTATGTCCACTGTCACTCCCATCTCTGATATTGTTGGGACTACAACTATTGCTTTGTAGGAACATATATGTATGTAGAACTATTTGGTATTTGAAACACATTCACTTGGTGATTTACTTATTTTGGTGTATTATATCTTACACAGTTGAATCAGAAAAACATTAAATTTTGTTAGGCTAGTTAAGACAAAGTTATAAATAAACCAAAACCATGTTGTGTAGTCCAATTAATTTTTGTCTCACGGCAAAATGATGAAACTCTTCATCCTTTAGAGCCATTTAAAATATTCAGTTCACAGGACTGAATGAGAAGGGGGAGGAGGGATGAAGTAAAGGAAGAGAAGATCGAACAGATAAGAATTAGTCATAGTTAAGACTGAGCAACACAGTCTCCTTGCCCTGTGACAGGAGTCTGGTCTAATATATTTTAAGATATTTATGTTTCTTATTTCTAATTATGCATGTGCACACATCTTGCCCCATACTTTGGATCTACCAGAGCTGGAGTTACAGGCAATGAGCTGCCCAATGTGACTGCTGGGAACCTAACTAGGGTTCTCTGCAAGAGCAGTGTGCTCTCTTAACCATTGAACCACCTTCCCAGCCCCTGGTATAACCATTATTGCAAAGTCCTGCACTGTTTTAGTACAGCCATTGAAAAATTAGAGTAAAAGATGAACATAGGAATCGCCATGCTCATGGCCACTAGAAAAATACTCATTTACTTTTTATACTTGCAAAATGGCGATGTTGAACTTTTCTTGAGGAAATGTGAAGGAATGTCCAATCACTCCAGATGAGCACCAAAATGACAGACCAAAGTAATATCACACCATGGCGAGACCAATGAGTTTAATGGGCTTTCTGGCAGAGTATGGGAGACTCCAAAACAGCTGCATCACCTCAAAGTTCCACTGTTGGTACATGCTCAAACAGAGAGATAGGACACCAAGACTTTGTGTCAAGAAGTACATTTATTTGTGCTGCCACAGGCTAAATGGATTCACATCTAAAGTCTGAACCCCAAGCACCCTGTAATATTGCCTTACCCTCCTCTAGTTCCCCTTTACATTTTAGTCCCTTTGTTTTCGCCATATGGCAGCAAATGTTCTAATTGTGTGCTTTATGTTACAGCTACGTATGCCATGTTGCCTTCCCTTTGTTCTAGGAGGACCCTTACTACATCACTCCATCATGGATGATGACCTCGTGGAAACTGTGTCACGGAGTACTAATTTCAATTCATCTATTTCCTACATATGGCCGCACAAGCAAGAGGACTAGAGTTCATGTCTCCAGAACTAGCATAAATGTTCCAGCTTCAGAAGGTATATTTGTGCCCCTGGAGAACCTGGCTAGCAAGACTAACCATGATGATGAATTCTGAGTTTGTTTGAGAGACTTTGCCTAAGACTAAGGTAGAAAGAGTGTATAGGAAGATTCTCAAGATCAACCTTAGACCACCATACCCATGTGCATCATGTCATATCTACTCCCCACACTCATGCAAACACGCACAAGTAAAAAAAAAAGGAAAAGAAAATTTAAAGTCTTATTGACTTACATATATATTACATAAATTGTATATATTACATATATATAATATATATATATAATTGCAAAAGAATATTCTCAGTGTTGCACAGAGAAATACCTAAAACGGTGGAAGTACCCTGAGAAGACAACGTCTAAGGCAAAAAAGTGCACTGTAATAAAACTGTATTAGGAAGCAGCACCCATGGCCAAGATGGCCTCTGTCTTTAATTCTTAATTCAAGGGGGATCTTGGTTGTTCCTCCTTGTTGGCTGAGGTTCAACCTCACAGTCTACTCCCAATTGGCTAATTGGGAAAGTGGCCTGAAGGAAAGGGGAAAGGGATTGGGTCCTAAGGGTCATTAAGTTCCTGGCATGCAGCAGGGCTTTGGCGTGGAGATGAAAAGATTTGCACAGGGGACTATAGAGACGGCTTACTGAAAGACCTGGTCTTGGTTTCCAGCACCCATATGGTGGCTTACAGCTGTCCATTTCTCCAGTTTGGGGGGTCTATCACACTCTTCTGGCCTTCCTGGGCACTGAGTGTGCCTGTAGTGTACATACATACATACATGTAAGCAAAAACACTTAGGCACGTAAAAAGTAAAAAATAAGTAAATATTAAAAATGTAATTTAAACACATTTACATAAATGTTTTACAAGGTAGAGGAGATTAAAAGACTTGCATAAAAGTTTTTATAAGATTTATTGGTCTTTGGAGGGCTAACCACTTTTGATAGAATAAACAAATTTTTCGCAGTACCAACACTGATAGCAAGATCATAATACACAGCATAGGATAGTGGCACACATCTTTAATCCCAGCACTCATGAGGTAGATAAAGGCAGGCAGGTGTCTGTGAGTTCAAAACCAGCCTGGTCTACATAGTGAGTTCCAGGACAGCCAGGACTACATAGTAAGACTCTGTCTTAAAATAAAATAACAATACACTACTGATACACTACTGTTGCAATTGCACATTATATACATCTATTGTACATCTGTATGGCAATATAAAACTAAACTGTTAATATGATCTTCTACTTCAATGAAGCCCCACTTTTGAAAATTATCATAAAATCTTCAATGATAAGAAAATAAACAAATGTATATATGTTTTCCTTGGGTTTTAAAAATAGAATGACAGACAAAGTTGAATAAAATGAAGGGTTGGACACACAGAAAAGAAAATTTTGAACAAATAAAGAAACCAAATAAGTTCTGCTTAGAGAACTGATTAGCCTAAGCAGAAATTGATGTCATTGTTAAGATGTGCCAATGTGCCTAGTGTTTAGATAAATCACTGTGCTGAGACACATTGTAGAGAGACTTGTGAGGGACTTGAACTTCTACCTTGAATAATAGCATTTGAAAAGTAATTTTCTGACATTGAACAGAATGTACGAGCGAGAAGTAAGACTGTAAAAAGAAAGGCTGTGCCTAGCGAAGCAAGGTACTGAGCTGTGTTAGAAGGAGACAGAGCGGGGGACAGCTTTCAGGTTGGGAGAGGACCTACCTCTGAGGTCATGGGACTGACTCAGATGGGTGAATGAAAACACATGCTTCTAGAAGGTTATATTGAATACTAATAGGACGGACAGGAGAAACCATGGACAGAATCCTAGGGAAAGCAGATGTCTCCGTGGAGACCACGTGCAAAATTTTCGTGTCAGATTTTCGTGGCTCAAATCCTAATTTCAGGGGTGATCGGGAGCAAATCCTTCAACTCCCGGGCATCATTTCCATCATCTAGAAAATGGGGACAGTAGACTCCACCTCATAAGGTTCAGATGAAGTTCCCAGCTCTTAAGTACTTAGCCAATGTGCACCTTCCTGCCGTTGCTTGTACTGAGAGCGCAACTCTCAGCTGTATATGCGTGAAGGACTACAATAAGCATGCTAATCCTTGCCACTCACCTCCCTGAAAAACAGCCTGGTTCTGCCCTGCAACTTCCCAAACCAGTCCTTGTTTCACTGTCCCAGTTAGCGGAGACAGCAGTTGCCTGGAACTGATCTACCATTCAGCTGAAGCCGGACCTGCCTTCTGCCCTCCTCTCCCCTTTTGTGACTGGAAGGTGCTCAGTGACAAGTGGCTGGGAGGCAGGGAAAGAAAAGAACGCTCTAGAGGTGACCTGTTGCTCTCATCTCTTCCTGTTCCATTTATATCAGGGAGAAGTATTTGCCCTTGGCGACGTGCTGTTTCCCGCTGGGTCTCGCCTCTTCCTGTCTCTCATCCCTCTCCACCTCTACCTTTTCTCATAATGGCAGATTGACTTCTCCAGCCGTGCAGCCAAGCTGCGTAACATAACACGTCCAAGTGCAGGCAGGTAGGTGTCCTTGTCCTATTTTGGGGTAATTGTTGAAGTGGTGTCCTCTGATTTCTCTGGCTGCTCTGTGGTATCCTTTCTCTGTCACAGACACCATAGCTGGGGTCAACAGTGGAGCAGGGCAAGGTGAAAGAGACACAAGTGGTCACAGCTACACTTCCATTTTCATCTTCGCGGTTGCTCCCTGCATGGTCTTTAGGGGACACGGTTCCTGCAGAGCCCCCAGGCTCCCTCCCAGGCCATTTTCATTCAATAAGACAAAAGCAATTCTTCTTTACGGAGAAAAAGAAGTCCCTTTTGTGGACTGAACTCTCTCCACTCCTATTCAGTTTCCACTGAGCCATGCTTAGGAATGTGAAGCCGAGGTCCCCAAAACAGAGCTGGGAAGGGTTAAGGTCAGTGCCATTGCAGCCGCCTGCCTTTGTGCATCTAACCTGGCTTTCTTCTTGGTCTGTGTATGTACTCCATGCGGTACTCAGGGCTCTTCCTGGGATCCCTTCTGCAGCGTTCAATGTCCCCTTTAGACTACCCATTCATACTGGAGTTTAAAATATAAGGCTGCAATCAATTGAAATGTGACCCCACTCAAGGCTATTTTCCACTTAAAAAGCATCAGAGGTAAGATCCCTGGGGTAGCATTTCAGATGCTAGCCAGAGAAAGGCTAGAGGGTACAAAATGATTTTAAACTATGACGAGGGGAGACTTCTTTGGTTCATTTTACTACTTCGAAGTGAAGAGACAAGACACTGGGTGAATCAAACCCAAATTATTCTTATTCCTTAAGTCTGTATCCTGAATTTCTGGTCACTGACATCTTTCGCCTCCTCCTCTTCGCTTTTTAGAGGAAATGTCCTATATCCTGATTTGTGATGAATTGCATCAGCTGTCGTAAGTTCTCATTGCCGCTCTATCGACTTTTCTTCTCCTGCCTGCTCTGTGCAACCCCACGGAACTTCTGGCAGCCCTTGTTATCTTATACAAACACGCAGCAGTGATAAAATTGCAACCGCAGAAATAGAGCCATTTGTATGGGCTCTTCACTGCCGTTTAATTTGTACCAGAACTCAAGTGACACAATGTATAGGCTGTGTTTTCTGACACGTCAAATTTTACAGAAATTGTGTTTCAGTTTATTTCAGTGGGAAATGGGGTATCAAAAGACACTACCATCTCAGGGGTGCATAAGCATGCCTACAAGCAAGTTTCCAAGTTGTAGAGACTCCTGTTCTGAAGATTTGAAAGTAGGTTTCAAGTAAGGCAATGAAGAATAAGACAGGCATGGCTTGAGTGAGCCACGTCACACATTCGAAATTTGGTCCCCTGTCGATAGAACTGCAGGAAGCCACAGACCTTTAGAGGGTGGAGCCTGGCTGGAGGAAGTAGGGTCTATGGGGGCGGGTCTAGAGAGTCTATCTGAGCCTTCCTGTGTGCTCTCTGCTTCCTGACTTCTAATAGGACCAAGTACCTCATACTCCTCTTCTACCCCTTTCCTACCATGACCCAGTGTTTCCCTTCTTAAAGCACAAGTCAAAATAAACCCTACCTGAAGTTGTATTTGTCCAGGATCTAGTCACAGCAATGAGCAGAGTGACCAGCACAACTGGTGTTGTCCCAAAGGAGGGACTGCAGCTCATATGCCTTATGTGAGGTTTAGTTTTCTCTTGGTGGTTTACGAGCATGAAAACCTGAGTAGGAAACTTTTACCAAAATCAGTCTGTTTCACACTCCTTTTTAAAATAAAATAGGAGGTTGAAATGTGACTCTTTCTCCTAATTCTATAAGCACCCCAGATTGTCCTCGCTTTTCTTTATTCATCTGGTTATTCATTCAGAAAACACTGCCTGGATACATTTGGTGCTGCCACCATTCCAGGATCTCCACAGGGTGGAGAACCGATTGAAGGCAGAGGACGAGGCCAGTTGGGACATCTGAGCTGATGGTGGTGATGACAATGGGGGTGGGTGGTTCTCAATCAGCTTTCTACTGCTGTGGCAAACAGCTGCGGTAACTTCGAGATGGAGAGGGTTATTTGGGGCTCATATTTTCTTTTAGGGTTTCAATTCCTGGTTGCTGCATTTGGGCTGTACTGAGGGATAACACTTGTGGTAAACTGATTACTTCATGGTAACCAGGAAGTGAAAGGAAAGAGACAGGAAGGGGCTCAGATCCCAATTGTGGTGATATTGTGTTCCCCAAAATATTGTGCACCCCAATAAACTTATCTGGGGTCAGAGAACAGAACAGCCACTAGATACAGAGGTCAGAAAATGGTGGCACACACACCTTTAATCCTAGTATTCCTAAGGCAGAGATCCGGATGGATCTCTGCGAGTTTAAAGCCACACTGGAAACAGCCAGGCATGGTGACTCAGGCCTTTAATCTCAGGAGCTGATGGCAGAAAGCAGAAAGGTATTTAAGGCGTGAGGACCAGGAACTAGAGCTGGTTAAGCTTTTAGGCTTTTGAGCAGCACAGTTCAGCTGAGATCCATTTGGATGAGGACTCAGAAGCTTCCAGTCTCAGGAAACAGGATCAGCTGAGGAACTGGCAAGGTGTGGTGGCTGTGGCTTGTTCTGCTTCTCTGATCTTCCAGCATTCACCCCAATACCTGGCTTCAGCTTTGATTTTGTTAATAAGACCTTCTAACAATTCATGCTACACCCAATATCTTCTTCCATGCCACACTTCCAAGGACATGACTTGTTTTGTCTAGATCTAGACTCCTAAAGGTTCTACTGGCTTACAATAGTACCACAGGCAGATAACCAAGCCTTTTGGACACGAACCTTTTGGGGACCATTTAAAAGTCCAAACCACAACATTGGTAAAACATTGATTTTGTTGGTAAATCTTCAAATTAATCTAAAATAGAAATTAATTTAAAATTAATTGATGAAAATATTTGGTAATATGTTAATTTAAGGAATAGAATAATAATATTAAAGCTCATACAAATCTAGGAATTCCTGTCATAAAGTGTCAAAGTTACAAAAGGAGTCCTATAATCAGTGGGACAGTGAAAGTATATCTGTGGATGTATATTTAGTATCCCATTTGAATAACTGACAGGAACTATATTATGTCATCATCATTATCATTATTATAGTCCCTAAACAGTTAGATTTGTAAGAAGAGACATACCCAAATCTTGCTGTTATAGAAAACAGTGGGATGTGGAACTCTTGGGAGACCATTTAATTCAGTCTTTTCATTACAAATAAGAAATCCAAGACACAGAGGCTAAGCCATTTGCAGGATGTGAACCACAGGAGTCATGGTAGTGCTGAGGGTGGAACCAAGATGTCTGATGTCTAGGGCAGGGGTCTCTTTCCTACAGGCAACAGCTTTCCAAGGAAGACTTGGAAATAAGTTTGTGGGATTTAGATGACCATTAAAGAGGGACTTTTAAAGTTCTTTCAATCTCTAAAGAACATTTTAAAAAGCCAAACATCTGATTTATTGTCAGATTAATTGACCACAAGAAAGTCTATGCCAATATCAGCAATTGTTCTTCACATACTTACTTTCCAAAAATAATTTTGGATAAATCTGGCTTTGGAATACAAGGTATTTTAACATGTGATTTATATTATTATTACTTTTGTATTTAAGACTTAGAAATAGAGACAGCAGTTTATTTAGGATTAGTAAGATGAGATTTTGCAAAGATTAAGAGTGGTTGATTGTGAGCCACTGCACATTATTCATCAAGTGACAAAAACGTTTCGTAGAGTCTCTTTAAGTATTAGAAGAATAGAGAACTGATGAGCAGTCTCGTAATTTTTAAGGAAAGCATTCTTTTTTCTTATGTGCATTGTGGTGAGTGTGTACACATTGTCTCATGTGTGCACACACTTGAATGTGTGGGTATACATGCATACAGATGCATGCAGAGACCCAAGGTGTGATGTTGGAAGTGTTCTATTTCCACCTCGTTCACTGAAGCAGGCTTTCTCCATTGACCTCAGAGCTTGTGGATATGACTAGTCTGCCAGCTGGCCCCGCGGCTCCCATCTCTGTCTTTGTAGAGATGGAGCTAAAGAGGACTGCCAAGCCTACCTGGCTTTTATGTGGGTTCTGGGGATCCAAACTCTAGTCCTGTGCTTGCAGAGCAAGCACTTCGGCCATTTACCCATCTCCTCCTCCCAGGAGACACAGCAAGGAACGATAACTCATGCTCTTGCTGTTAGAGGTCTTAGTGAATTTGAAAAGGCTCTTATTCTTCAGTTCCAGATGTATGAAGTAAGCAGCAGAAAAATAAAATGTAATAAAATCAATGGACTCATTTACTGTTTTTTAGATTTTATTTTAGATTATGAGGGAATTTCTTTGCCTCTGAATTCCAACTGCCCCATATAAAAGAACCAATGTATCTGCATATTTAACTTTGATTTGCTTTATCCATAATTGGAGTTTTTTTAGTACAAAATGATTCATGATAAGTTTCAATAAAAATTACTTGAAAATAATAATATTCAGAAAAAGGAAATAATATATATTAGAAATTAAAGGTTTTTATATATAATTATACATAATTATCTTTAAAAATATGTCAAAACTATTTTAAAAGGTTGAAGCTTATAATTTATTCATTTGTTATTTTGTTATTAAATTTTTTGGTTAATCAATATATCCAAGTGTTTAAAGCTTAAATTATAAAAAATAATATAAAGTCATGAGACTGACCTTAGATACTAACATAATACAGTCTCCATATTCATGTTAGTGGCAATGCTTTGTGGTTATTACCAGGCTGTGGCCTCTCTTCTGAGGATGATTTGAAATGTTTCTTTTGTGACTACATTAAAAAAAAGTTTGAGCTTTACAACTTAGTTTCTTGACATGATCTTTTGATCTGGTTTGCAATAGAATTCCAATTTAGTAACCCATACATAATACTGACCAGACTTGGAAAATTGGAAAGGTTTTATTAATTTTCACTGAATGAAGATTTGACACCCATAAGGATATTTAAGAAAATGCTAGTTCAGGTTTTGATA